CCCCCCCCCAGTGCTTGCCTTCCCCCGTGTCCCTCTGGCCGCCCCCAGCCCCGCAAAGCGCGCCTCGTCCGCAGTGTCTCCAGCCATGTCTGCCGCGCCACGCATGAACCTCCGGTCGAAGGAGGGCTTCGAGATTTCGGTTGCCGCACACCTGGTGGACAATGCCCTGCTGCGCGCCTTCTTCCTCATTCCCGGCGACGTGCTGCCCTGCCTGATTGACACCAAATCGCTGGCCGTGTACCATGACCCGGACAATGACCCGCCCGGGGTGTTCGCCGAACTGGCCGGCAGCCAGTTCCAGGTGGTCACCTACGACGAGGTGTACGGCTCGGACGACGAGGCGGAGCATGCGCCGGCCGCCGGCCCGGAACGCCGGCCCATCGATCCGGCCCGCATTGAGGGCATGAAGCAGGCCTTGGATGCCTATGTCCAGCGCCACTACACCCCGGCCTTCCCGCAGATCCTGGCCCCGGAATTCGCCGAGCAGGTGGGCTTGTGGGCGGCGCCGGAATTGCTCCGGGCCTTCCAGCTCCCGGTCGATGCGCGGCTCGGCCCGGCGGCCCCGGTGCCGGATTGCCCGCCGGAGCACCTCCTCCGGGCCCTGCTGAAGGTCGAATCGACGGCCAACTTCCTCGTCAGTCTGCCGGTCTTCCGGCTGGACTTCTGCGCGTGCGTGCCTCGCTCTTGCCGCCACCTCGGGGCGGGCGGGGCGCGAGGCCGGGCTCTCTTTCCTTTTGCCCCCCTCTCGCCGCTGCCTCCGCTCATTTCTCATCCAACACGTCCCCCCCCCCTCCCCTCCCCTCCCCTCATCCGTGGGTCTTGTGGCGGACAGGCTTCTCGCTGCGGAGATTCGCCACTTCAATGAGGCCGGCATGCCCACCACGCGCCCGAACAGCATGAACAAGTATGGCCTGGCCCTGCTGCAGCTCGGCCTTGACAAGCTCATGGATACTCTGGTGCGTGACCAGGAGCGGGCCTGCGGCCTTGTGACTTTCTTGCCCGCTCTCGCCCCCGGCCCCCTCCCTTCGACCGGGTGCTGACGCCCTGCCGCTCGCCTGGCGCCTCCACCGGCCGGACACACACCTCCCCCCATGAGGACAGATGAAGTTCTTCCTGGGCCCCTTGTCAAAGGCCCTCTTTGGCGATGCGCCGGCCCCTGCGCCGGGCCCGGCGCCGGCCGGCGCACACGGGCCCGGATGCCACCCCCAGCCGGTGTCCACGGAGCTGGCCCTGCCCTCCGGCCCGAAGCCATGGCCCAACTTCAATGTGGCCTTCCCCGCGGCCGCGGCCTTGGACTTTGTCTATGCCTTCGCCATCCAGTACAACTCCTTCCGGCTGGAGGATGGCCGGCCGGCCGGCGATGTGGCCCTCGACCCGCACACGGACGACTCGCACGTCACGCTCAACGCCTGTGTCGGGGACTTCCAGGAGCCCCCGCCCGCTGGGCACCAGCTTGCCCTGCCTGGTGATGAGCAGGCCGCTGCCCTGCCGGCCGGGTGCACTGCGGTCGCCTTCACCGGCGGGGACCTGATGCTTCTCGGGGTGTCGGGCGCCCCGGGCGGCGCCAAGCCCGAGGAGGATCAAGCGGTTGATGTGCAAAATTCGGAGCGCCTGTCTCAGGCCCCGGGGCATGGTCAGCTGCACCTCGGGGCTGTGCGCCATGCGGCTCTGCCCATCGACCCGGATGGCCGTCGCAGCAATGTGGTTCTCTGGATGCGTAACACGGCGCCCCGATGCGCGCACTAGCATGCGCGCGTGCGCCCCGGGGGCCGGCTGCCGCGCGATCTACGATGACGGCGAAGGCCCCTCGAGTCGTGGTGGGGCCGGGAAAAGATAACGCCGCGCCGGGTGGCAAGGGCAGGGGAGGGAGCAAGCGGGGAAGACCCGCGTGCGGATCAAGTGAAAAAAATAGATTCCCGCCCAGGAAGAATGCACGGCTGTCTCGGTCCTGGTGTGCCCTTTTTTTTTTTTTTTTCATTTCTCCGTGCTTCCCCTTTGCCGACAGTCCAGAGAAGGTGGCAGGGGGCCGAGAAGGGGGGGGGGGGGGGGGGGCAATCCACCGGTGGGGGTTTGTTTTCTTGGTTGTTATTGGTGTCGACGTTTAGGCGATGGCGATTGTGGGGTAATGGGCGGCATGTGATACGTCCACGTGCGCCCCATTACAGGTTGCCTTTGACACGCATCAATCTCCTGGGAAGGGGAAAAACCACATTGTGTCCTGTTCCCCCCCCCCCCCCCCCTGCATTGCCCCCTCGCGCCCCCCCCCACTCCTTTTGAGCGTCCGAGGCTGGGGCGAAGCCGGCCAACTTGGGGGCAGTGGCGACGGAGGGCCGGGAAAACAGGGGGCGCGGGCAGGGCTGCCCCACAGGAAAGCAGCTGGCCCCGCTGGCTGTCCGGGGGAATGTCGTCGCCGGCACTTGGGGCCGGGCCTGCCGGCGTGCCAAGAAGCCACCATTGGCACCCTGGATCTTGGGACGAGCGAAGTTCCGGGGCCGTTGCCGCCGTCGCCGTCGCCGTCGCCGTCGCCGACTTTCGCGGGGCTGTTCGCTTGGGAGCGAGAGGGTGGACGAGCGGAAGAACAAGAAAGCGACACGGAGACCGAGAGAGCGGTAAGACACCGGTCCCCTGCTCGGGAGGAGCATCGCCTGGCAGATTCCCACAGGGAAATGGACTCAGGCAAGGCCGCGCGCGCGCGCGCGCGCACACGCCAGGAATACCGGCGGTCCAACCGGGCACGGTGGGGTCCCAACGGGGCCCGGTGCCTGTGCGCACAAGTACGACCTCGTCCGGGCCCTCTTCCGGGCCCTCTTCCGGGCCCTCTTCCGGGCCAACTGCCTGCCGGTGGGGCACCGGCAACGGGCACTGAAGGGAGCCCGCTCCAGGCTCCGGCTGACCTGCCTGGCAGATCAAGACAGCATATGGCGCCCCTCCCCTCCTATCCCCTCCTCCCTCCCTGCTCCCTCCCTCCCCCCCTCTCCTTTGCTCCCTTCCGGCCCCCGTTTCCGCGCGGATCCCCAGCCATGACCGTCTCCGAGTCCGGGGCTGCCTCGACCACCACGGTACACAAGAAGGTGACTCCGCCTCCCTCTCTCCCTCCCTCCCCTTTCCCATCCGCCCTCCTCCCCAGGGGACCCGGGGGAGAGGGGGGGGGGGACGGGGGAGAGGAGCGGATCTCCCCCCCCCCCCCCCCCGCCGCCGCCGCCGCTTGTCTTGCCTTACCTTGCTCTGGGGCCCACTGTCTGACTCTCTATCCCTCATGGCTGTTTGCCTGCCTGCCTCTCCCTCTCTCTCCCTCCCCCCCCCCCTGCTCCCCCTGCCCTCCCTTGGTGACCAGGCACCAGCCCATCCCCAGCGGAAGGTCGCCGACAAGGGCAGCCACAACAAGGTCTCCAGCGGGAGGACGTCGCCAGCCAACCGCTCGCCACGGATTTCGGACTCCTCGCTGACGATCTTCCACCGGCACTCGCCGAAAGCCCCCTTGATGCCCTTCCTCCTGGAGGCCTGGGTGAAGCCAAGCGTCCGCCGGCCTCTGCCTGACGTCAAGCCAGCTCCAGTGGCTGCGCCGGGGCCCCGCAGCCAGCACCCGCCCTCCTACCTGGGCTGGATCCGGCTGGCAATCCTCGGCTTCGCGCTGCTGGCCCTCCGTGACGCCCTGGACTCGATCGTCACGCATGGCTGGCTGACCCCCATGTACCTGTTCACCAACTTCGCCCGGGACCTGGTCAACATCCCGGGGCTGCTGGCATCGCCGTCCGTGCAAATCCTTTTCTCCTTCAACCTCTTTGTCCTGGCCGGCTGGCTGATCCAGCGGACCGGTGCGTGCCATTCTCCTCTTCGGGTGTCGTCTTTTGTTGCTGGCCGCCTTTGAGGGGGTCCTGCTCGGCCTCGCCTTCTCACATGCCTCCCACCCCCCGCCCCGGTCATGTACCCGCCCCATTGCTGCTGCTATTGCTGCTGCTGCTGCTATTGCTGCTGCTGCTGCTATTGCTGCTGCTGCTGCTATTGCTGCTGCTGCTGCTATTGCTGCTGCTGCTGCTACTGTTGCTGCTACTGCTGCTGCTGCTGCCGTCGCCGCCGCCGCCGCCACCACCGCCGATTGCCCGGGCTGGCATGTCCCTCGTCGCAGCTCACTCCATCTACGAGAAGACCGGGCGCCTGCACACCGGGCTATTCTTCACCCTGCGTGCATTGCTCTCTTGCTCGTGCCTGGCATTCACCACCTGGGCCATGGTCAACTGGGACACCAACATCTGCTTCAACGCGGTGAACATCATCATCATGGCTTCCCACTCTGCGGTTCGTCTGGCCCCCTCTCTTTCTCTCCCCCTCTTCCTGGCAATGCCCACCCCCGGCTGCCATTGGTCGCGCTCTGGCTGGCCCCGGGGATCTTTTCAATGAGCAAGTGCACTGACTCCCCCTCCTCCCCCCCCCCTCCTCTCTCTCTCTCTCTCTCTCGACCTTGATGGGGTGCTCTGCCTGCCGGGCTATCCAGAAACTCTGGTCGTACGGTGCTGTGAACGATGGCCTCCGCTTGGCCGCCAAAATGGCCGAGACTGATCCCACCAACACCAAGTATTCGCAGATCGTGGCCGACAAGCTGAATAACTACCCGAAGAATCTCACCCTCGGGGATGCCTTTTACTTCTCCCTGGCGCCGACCCTTTGCTACCAGCCGATCTTCCCTCGCACCCAGTCCATCAACTGGAGCTTTGTCGCGCTGCGCTTTGTCGAGTTCCTCTTCTTCTGCGCTCTGGAGGTTTTCCTGGCCCTGCAGCTGATGCAGCCTGCCCTGCAGGGCAGCATCGTGGCCTTCGAGCAGGGGGACTACCTGGCTCTGGCGGCCGTGCGTGTTACCCCTTGCCATCTTTTTTGCCGGGGGGGGGGGGGGAAATCCGGCCCCATGCGCGCCCCCGGCGCGCCTCTTGCCACCTGCCCATGCCCCCCTCCCACCACCACCACCACCGCCACGAATCCGCTCAAGCCCTGACTCCTTCCAACCCCGTCAGCGCATCCTCCATATCATGGTCCCGAACATGCTCATCTGGCTGGTGGGCTTCTATGCTTACTTCCATGTTTTCCTCAACATGACTTCTGAGCTGCTCCGCTTCTCGGACCGGCAGTTCTTCTCCGACTGGTGGAATGCCACCACCGTGGTATGTTCCCTGCTGCTGTGCCCTTTCTTCTTGGGCCTTTTTTCCCCTGCTTCCATCTGGAGGTGCCTCTCCTTGGCGGTCGACTTATTCCCCCTCCCCCCCCCCCTCCCTCACCCCTGCCACTCGGAAGGCGTACTTCTGGCGCAGCTGGAATGGCCCGGTGCACAACTTCATCGTCGCCCATGTGTATCTCCCCCTGCAGGAGTCCGGCGCGGCATCGCGCGTCCTGGCCGGCCTGCTGTCTTTCATCATCTCGGCTCTGGCGCACGAGGCTCTGGCCGTCGTGCCCCTGGGCCTGATCGGCAAGGCCCCGCCATACGCCATGCTGGCCATGCTGGCCCAGCCACTGGCCGTGGTGGCCACCGCCCGCATGAAGAAGACCCTCCTGGGGAGCCTCTTCTTCTGGTCGACGCTGATCATCGGCCAGCCGGCCGTGGTTTTCCTCTACTTCATTGCTCACACAAAGGCCTACTCGGCGTGAGCCAATCCTGTCTCTCTTCCCGCCCTCTCTCTCTCTCTCTCCCCTTCTACCACTCGGGACACCCTTGCTTTCAGTGTCCTCTCGGTGGGTCACTCCGGTCTTGGATGAATACACGTGGGGCCGCAGTTGTGCCCTGCCCATCCACTCGCCATCCTGAAGCGTGCATATGTGTGTCTGTGTGTGTCTATATGTATCTGTGTGTGTCTGTGTGGGTGTGGGTGTGGGTGGGTGTGGGTGGTGGTGGGGAGAGAAAGAGAGAGAGAGAGGGGGGGGGGGGAGAGGAGGGAGGAGAGGCCCCACTCATGCCTGGGCTATGGTCTCAGCGCACACCATATGTACCGGGGCGCCTTTTAAGAAGAGTCTCACCTGCCAGTTGTGGGACAGTTTGGGGTATTTGTGTCATCACCACCCACCCCGAAGGCACGCCCCCATGGAGGCCACCCATGGAGCGCAAATCTGGAACGTATGTGCATGCTAGCGTGTGTCTATTTCTCTGCACCCGAACGGTTGGCGACCGGCGGAAGGAGCGGAGGAAGTCTATGGAGAGGTGTCGCCAGCCTCGAGGCCGAACCAGGGCGTGTCCTGGGGGTCGTATTTCGGCGCCGGACTCTCATATGGCAGGGCGCCTACGGATGGACGTGTGTGAGGAGGCAGTGATTGGGTCAGGATAGAGAGAGAGAGAGAGAGAGGAAGGGACGGAGAGAGAGGAAGAAAAGAAGAGGAGGAAGGAGGTCGCCACGGAAAAGGCGGCACTAGGAGGGGCGAGTGGGCGCAGGGAGGACGCAACGTACGGTCCAGGGCGGGCCCACCAGCCAAGAGAACACCGAGCTCGTAATTGACGATGCGTGTGGAAAGGACCTCGCCTGTAACTTTGGAGGTTGAGCAGGCGCCCCAGGCCGACTGGGTGAAGTTGTGCGAGCCGACATACAGCCACAGGGAGCTGGAGACAACCGGCCCCGGGTGAACGTCCGTGCCATCATCGCCGGCCTGTTTGAGAGACGCCGAGGCGGCCTCCGGTGCGGGGCCCGCGGTCGAGGAGGCCAAAGGACCGGCGGCCAGGGCCGCACGCGACCGCTTGGCCGGCTGGAAGGCCGCCGGCGGAGCAGCCGAGCGCTTCCGATCCACCGGGCCAAGGAGATCCTGCCAGGAGCCGACAATCTTGCCGGGCGCACGGCGCGGCGGCGAGTCGGTCAGATCCACCACCGCATCAGCATCACCATGGGCGTCGGCCTCCTCCTCGTCCGATTGGGAGGACTCCTCGCCGGGCCGGGTGCCATCGCTCCGGATCTGGGAAAAGGGCGACACGGAGGCCGGCGGGCCAAAGACACTGGCGCTGGCCGGGGTGGAGACGCACGGCGACTCGATGACATTCGTCCGGCGCCGAACCACCGGGATAGCACCATCCACCCCGACCCCGAGGGCCGAATACAGGGCCCCGACATCCGAGGCATCCATGCTCACCCACCGGCCGCGGTAGAACATCCGCCGGCCGGCGCCAGCCGGGACAGCAGGCCGAGGGGCTGCCGGGGGTGGCGCATCGCCGCCGGCCAGGCGCCGCTCCACCGCGCGGGCCGTGGCCTCGCGCCGGGCCCGCGCCGCCTCCTCCGGCCCCGGGGCCGGGAGGTCCACACGCAGGCGCAGGATCTTCGCATGGCTCAAGAGCCCCCGGCCGGCCACCACCCGACGCGACACATACCGCCGGAGGACATCCCGGCGGAAGGACGGCGCTTGGAACAAGCGCCGCTGCAGGCAGATGGTGGTGGCGGCGGCCGGGCCGAAGGCCGAGTCCTCGACATCCGCCCGGGGGGGAAAGAGAACCTCCGCACGGACCGACACTCGGGCGGCCCCTTCGCCCCGGTTAGATCGGAAGAGCGTCGTGCATACCGCCGGAGGACATCCCGGCGGAAGGACGGCGCTTGGAACAAGCGCCGCTGCAGGCAGATGGTGGTGGCGGCGGCCGGGCCGAAGGCCGAGTCCTCGACATCCGCCCGGGGGGGAAAGAGAACCTCCGCACGGACCGACACTCGGGCGGCCCCTTCGCCCCGGTTGAGACACTTCTCGGTGGGCTGGGTGAATTGCTGGATGAAATCCGCCGACAGAGCCCCGAGAGACCCGGTGACACACTCGAGCGTGACCCGGGCCCCGGGCGGCTGGGCCGGCTGGAGCTGGGCCGCCAGCTCGGCCAGGCGCCGGACCCCATACCGATTGTCCCGGTGGGTGCCGGGAATGCTGGCAACCAGACGCGCCGCGGCCCCGCGCATGTCCGCCTCATCGAGGCGCTTGCGCCACACGCCCTCCGGGATGTCGAGATCGCGCAGGAACCCGGCTAGATCCACGCGCAGGAGGTCCCCGCCCCACGCGCAGAGGGTCCCCGGCGGAGGGGGCACCGCCAGGGGGAAGCCGCCGGCCCCGGCGGCCGCAGCCCCGGCCGGCGCCGCCAGGTTGGGGAAGGTTTCCGTGTAGAGGAACTGCTCCACGCCGCCGGTCCAGTCTTGCGAGGTGAGATTGGCCGAGGACACCACCAGCCGAATGCAATGCCGGTAGAAGAGCAGCATGAACTTCGCGTGGAAGAGCCCGCGCCCGGCACACGCAGGCAGCAGGATGCGCATCGAGGGGTACTCGGCGCAGCGGAGGGAGGTCGCCTCGGCCGGGGTCCCGGCGCCCTGGTGCGCGATCAGGACCACCGGCACGCCGCGCTGGACCCCCGGCAGATGGGCAATCAGCCAGGGAAGCTCCACCACATACGAAGACAGGATGGCGCCCTCGAGCTCCGGGCTGTTGAGCAGGCGCTCAAGGGTGACGTAGTTCCCGGCCGGCATGGCCGGATGCCCGGACCGGGGCTTGTTGCCGGGCAGGGCGTTCCCGTAGAGCATGGACCGGAGGCGGGGAAGGGAAGGGGGCGATGGAGGGCGATGGGGGGCGATGAGGCGGACGAGGAGGCGGCGGCGGCGGCGGCGGCGGCGGCGGCGGCGAAAGGGTGGATGGGTAGGGTAGAGGCGGGCAGGGGGGGGTGCGTCGGCCCCGGCGCGCGATCGTGGAGCGCCCCGGCTGAAAAGCCGCGCGCCCACCAGTCCGACGGGTGGCGAAACGACGGACCCACAGCATGCATGTGACTCGCGGCGGGGACCGCGGCGCCCGAGGGCGCCTGAGCATGTCTGGATCATGCGTCTTTAAATAAAAATAAAAAGGGGGCGGCCCCCGCCGCCGCCCGGGAGGCTGGCCCATTCTGGCGTGCGCGCGTGTCCAGCGGTGGGCCGGTGTCGGGCCTGACGTGTGTGTGTGTGCGCCCGATTTTCATGCTCCCCCCCCCCCCCCCCCCCCCCCGGGCGCGCCCTGTTCGCCGGCCCAGGCGCCAATTCGCCGTGGCGCTTTCACAAGAGAGAGACACCCGCCCGTGGCAGGCCCACCTGTCTAATGCGGCCCTGGCCCCGGTCCGATCGCTGCGGCGCGGGGCCGTGCCCCTGCGATGCCTCCCAGGCGCTGGCCCGGGTTTCCTCCCAAGGCGTCCTCGGACCGGAGAGGCGACGGGGGCGGGGAACACAACACTCCCCCAGCCTCGGGGTGGATGGTCGCCCGGAGCTGAGCTGCCCCAGCCTCCCCCCCCCCCCCCCC